CAGAGTGAAGCAGCTCTGACCATATTAGGGTGAATACTTAAAACGAAAGTGAATTATAATCAAATATAATCAATCATATTCTTGTATAACCCAAAATGAAAATGCTTCATATTTTATGATTTTCTATATTTACAGTATAAACCAAGTGGTTTGTTAAGTTGAGTGTAAGGCCTATAATGGTTTATGGGTGTCACTGATAAGAAGGCAGTTTCTTCCCTCTCCCCTCACAGCAGTACACAGGGAGGGGGGCTCCTGACTTAAGGAGAAATACATTGAGGCCCCAAAAAGGTGGTTATGTCATAGCCGAGAATAATATTTTGCAAGTCCTGCAGAGTAGGGGTCATGTCCTTTTTACACAAACATGGGACGGTGTGTCTTATGCCATAGCTATAGAATATGTCTGGTCATGTCCAGTTCTTTACATCAGAGGCCATGCCCAGTTTCCACAAATATGGGTATGGAGGAGGTGTCTTTAGGTTTTTCTATCCTGTTTTCGAGCATAAAGACACTAGCGGAGAGGGAGCAAACTGGAGAGAGAGGGGGGGTTCCCCTGGTATACTCTCTCCCGGTAAAGCTCTCTCCCTGGAGAGCTGGGTTTTTGCTCTCGGTAAGGTTCTCTCAAACTTGGTAACTATTGCTTGAATCTCTGTGTATTGAATGCTGAGTGAATGGATGGATGAAAGTTTTAAAATGTAGGATTTCGAACTGATCATTCTGAGGAGCAAAACCTCTTAAATGTGTCAGGCTATAGGCTGTGAATGTTAGAACCTTCGATCCACGAGGAGATCCCTCTGGGTTATGTCGGAATTCAATCTGAACATTCTGAGGAACTGACCTCTTAAATGTGTCAGGCCTGGATGTTAACCCCGTCGATCTGTGAGGCAATTCCTTTTGGATTTTGTCGGGAGACTTTAATGTGTGAACTATGAATTAAGGTTTTAAATTAGAAAATAACCCCAGCATGATATGTTTAGTATGATTATAATGTTGTAACGAGAGAAGGTAAAAACCCTGTATAAGTTTGGACCTATTTTTCTTCAAATAAACTGATCCCACCTTTTGGATTGGGACAACTTAAAAAGACATCTGAGCTCTCCTCTCCTGCTTCAAAGGTAAGATTGCACACTGCCACACTCACACTTAGATAGGGCCACACCTCATTTACTGATATCAAAATCCTTCGGGATCGCTTAAACAGATTTAGGGGGTCGTCTGAATTGAAACAGCAGTTAATTGAACCTGGTTCTTCGGGGAGTTAATAGAGGTGAGATCTTGCTGACGTTGGTGGATCTGAGCCAAGCAGCAAACTTACATAGACTCAATAACTTCAGTTAGGTTAATTAGTAGGTCTGCATCAGGTACAGCAAATGTGTTGTCCCTATGTCCACCTAATATCAATTCAAACACCATGACACAATTCCATCAGATTAATGGTAAAAACTTAGAGGACATTATTCAACTTCTGAAATCCTCCTCCTGCTGCCTTGATATTATTCCAACAGGATTTTTCAAAGACGTTTTTCCTTGCATGGCCTCAGATCTACTTCATATAGTAAACACATCTCTTCACTCAGGTATTTTTCCACAGGCCCTGAAAACTGCAGTCATTAAACCGCTCTTAAAAAAGAATAATCTAGATGCTTCAGTAATGAACAATTACAGGCCAATATCAAACCTGCCATTTCTAGGTAAAATCATTGAAAAAGTTGTATTTCAACAGTTGAGTAACTTCTCGCATTTAAATAACTGTTTGGATGTGTTCCAGTCAGGATTTCGTCCAAACCACAGCACTGAGACTGCTCTTGTAAAGGTCTTCAATGACATCCACTTAAACACAGACAGTGGCAGAACTTCAGTGTTAGTATTATTAGATCTCAGTGCTGCATTTGACACTGTTGACCACAACATATTACTAGACCGACTAGAAAACTGGGTGGGACTTTCGGCAACAGTTCTAAATTGGTTTGAGTCCTACTTAAAGGACAGAAAAAACTTTGTTTCTATAGGTAAATACACATCTGAGTTGACAAATATGACATGTGGGGTACCTCAAGGCTCCATCTTGGGGCCTCTTCTCTTTAACATCTACATGCTACCACTGGCTCAGATAATGAAAAACAACAAAATAAGTTACCATAGCTATGCGGATGACACACACATTTACGTAACAATTTCACCAGGAGATTATGCTCCAATTCAAACACTGAGTAAGTGCATTGAACAAATCAATGACTGGATGTGTCAGAACTTTCTCCAATTAAACAAAGATAAAACTGAGGTAATGGTTTTTGGAGCCAAGGCAGAACGTATAAAAGTTAGCGCTGAGCTTCAGTCTGCAATGTTCAAAACAACAAATAAAGCCAGAAATCTAGGTGTAGTCATGGACTCTGACCTGAGTTTCAACAGTCACATTAAAACAGTTACTAAATCAGCCTACTATCACCTAAAGAATATATCTAGGATTAAAAGACTAATGTCACAGCAGGATTTGGAAAAACTTGTCCATGCTTTTATCTTCAGTAGACTCGACTACTGTAATGGTGTCTTTACAGGTCTCACTAAAAAATCTATTAGAAAGCTGCAGCTAATTCAGAACGCCGCTGCTCGAGTCCTCACTAACACTAAGAAAGTGGATCACATCACTCCTGTTCTGAAGTCCTTACACTGGCTTCCTGTGTGTCAAAGAATAGATTTCAAAATACTGCTGCTGGTTTATAAAGCTTTGAATGGTTTAGGCCCAAAATACATGTCTGACCTATTGCTAAATTATGAACCATCCAGATCTCTCAGGTCTTCAGGGACTGGTCAGCTTTCTGTCCCCAGAGTCAGAACTAAACATGGTAAAGCAGCATTCAGTTATTATGCTCCAAATATCTGGAACAAACTCCCAGAAACCTGCAGGTCCGCTGCAACTCTTACTACTTTTAAATCCAGGCTGAAGACTTTTCTTTTTGCCGCTGCTTTTAATTGAACTATTCACATCTTAAACTGCACTGTAACTTTTAACTTTTATCCATGTATTTTTTCTTTTAATGTTTATTTTATTATCTTTTCTTTTTAATGACTGATTTTAAATGCCATTTTCATAATGTCTTCCATTTTTGTAAAGCACTTTGAATTGCCTTGTGTTGAAAGGTGCTATATAAATAAACTTGCCTTGCCTTGCCTTGAAGCAGCTCTGACTGCAGAGTGAAGCAAGCAGCTCTGACTGCAGAGTGAAGCAAGCAGCTCTGACTGCAGAGTGAAGCAAGCAGAGATCTTGCTGACGTTGGTGGATCTGAGCCAAGCAGCAAACTTACATAGACTCAATAACTTCGGTTAGGTTAATTAGTAGGTCTGAGTAATTTGCCGGAATAAATGATCAGCTCCTCCCGACTCTTACACTGCAGCTCTGACTGCAGCTCTGACTGCAGAGTGAAGCAAGCAGCTCTGACTGCAGAGTGAAGCAAGCAGCTCTGACTGCAAAGTGAAGCAAGCAGCTCTGACTGCAGAGTGAAGCAAGCAGCTCTGACTGCAGAGTGAAGCAAACAGCTCTGACTGCAGAGTGAAGCAGCTCTGACTGCAGAGTGAAGCAGCTCTGACTGCAGAGTGAAGCAGCTCTGACTGCAGAGTGAAGCAGCTCTGACTGCAAAGTGAAGCAGCTCTGACTGCAGAGTGAAGCAGCTCTGACTGCAGAGTGAAGCAGCTCTGACTGCAGAGTGAAGCAGCTCTGACTGCAGAGTGAAGCGAGCAGCTCTGGACTGCAGAGTTGAAGAAGCTCGACTGCAGAGTGCAGCACTCGACTCGACTGCAGAGTGAAGCAGCTCTGACTGCAGAAGTGAAGCAGCTCTGAGCAGAGTGAAGCAGCTCTGACTGCAAAGTGAAAGCAAGCCAGCTCTGACTGCAGAGTGAAGCAGCTCTGACTGCCCAGAGTGAAGCAGCCTGACTGCAGAGTGAAGCAGCTTCTGACTGCAAAGTGAAGCAGCTCTGACTGCAAGTGAAGCAAGCAGCTCTGACTGCAGAGTGAAGCAGCTCTGACTGCAGAGTGAAGCAGCTCTGACTGCAAAGTGAAGCAGCTCTGACTGCAAAGTGAAGCAAGCAGCTCTGACTGCAGAGTGAAGCAGCTCTGACTGCAAAGTGAAGCAAGCAGCTCTGACTGCAGAGTGAAGCAGCTCTGACTGCAGAGTGAAGCAGCTCTGACTGCAGAGTGAAGCAGCTCTGACTGCAAAGTGAAGCAAGCAGCTCTGACTGCAGAGTGAAGCAGCTCTGACTGCAGAGTGAAGCAGCTCTGACTGCAGAGTGAAGCAGCTCTGAGCAGAACGTCTCCAGCAGGAGGACCCAGCAGGGTGAGTGTTTCACCTGCTGGAACACATGCTGGAACACATGCTGGAACACATGCTGGAACACATGCTGGAACACATGCTGGAACACATGCTGGCCCCGGGACCCGAGCGGTCCAGTTTGTGTCTGGATTTTTTGTTCTCTGACGCTTTAACAGAAAAATGAGTCCTTAAACACAAAGCGGCTAGGGTGCAGCGTAGTGAGAGTCAGCTGGATTAGAACTCTGGCTCGCTTTCTGACGTTCAAATCCAAAGAATGAGGACTTTAAATCAACAGTGTTTAGTCAACATGGAGATCATCTGAACTATCAGCTAGTGTAAATATCACAAATTCATTTTCATGATCGAAAGTCAATAAACATTATTCCTCATAATTATATATAATCAAATATAGGTTTTTACACTAAAATAATCGACCTATAGCCATCTTCATGAGGATCATCACGACACATGATAAAGGTTTTAAGCCTGTGCTCAATGACTTTAAAAAAACAACATCATAAGAGCAAATGATCTATGTTTGAAAAAGTACTTTTATACAGTATATACTGTTTGTTAATAATTATTGTGTCTGTACATGTATGCATTTGTACATATATTTATTTCAATGTATTATTTCAACTCTAAATGTTATGTTTAGTTTTTTATTCAATTTTAACAACATGTTTTAGTTTTTTGTGTGGGAGGGGGGTAGAAAAAAAATGGACAAAACACACAGTTCTGTATTATGCACTGAATGGACTACCAAGCTGTTATGTTGTTGAGGGAAAAGGAACACATAATAATATATAAATAAGTCTAACTATTATTTAATAAAACTTAATCCAGGATTAACAATGAAATCCTCAAACTATGAAATAAGAGAATTAGCAAATGACAAAGATCATTTTGCCTGACGACAGCCTGCCTGTGACACTACAGTAAGGAGTCTCTGCTGTCAGAGCAGCTTCAGTTATTCAGAGCAGGAAGAAGGACTCGTAATCACCTGTTTTTATCTTTTCCTGTCAATCTCTCTCCTCCCACATTATCATTTTTCCACCAGGAAGATCATTAGCACTAATTAGTCTCCTCTATGTAAACAAACACAATGCAGAGATTAGTACGGGAATGTTCCCAGCACCCTCCCTGTCCTGAGGTACGTCAATATCACTTCTTTTCCTTTTTTTTAACCATCAGATTAGAATGCTATGAATGCATGTTAATAACAATACAAAGTGATGGAGACAGCCTCGGTGGGTACTATTGAAAACTCTCAGATTAAAGTTATATAGTTACAAGAAAAACACTTTGTATGTTCTGAAGGGAAAAACTGAGATTTTCTGAGAATAAATTACCAAATTTACTAGAAGATTGTAATTGTTCCTCATACTAAACATTTTCTTCTTAATACTAAAAGTGGTGTTCTTTATACTGCGAGTGTTTCTGGAGTTTTGACCTCTTCATGCAGAAGCGTCTCAGCAGATTTGTCAGCCTATTAAATGAAAATAGATGTAAAGCCCTAAAGGTCAAGACGAGGAGATTGTGTATTCTCAGCCTCAGGAGTGGAGTCTTCATCCAACAGAGAATAAGTGATGCTGCAATGCACCACCAGTTACACCGCTCTGACAAACCTCTTTAAGATGTGTGGAAATCAGCCAACATCAACTACTGTGCATATAACACATTTCACTCTAAATGGTAATATGGAGTAGTGCAATATCAAAATCACACTGTTAAGAATTCTACCCAACACTCACATTTTGGTAAAGGCGAAGATATCAGAAAAAATCATTCCAAATGTTATTATATCTTACATTGATAATAATGTTTTAAAAATGATCATTCCCTCTAATTTGTAGGAACAAGACTGTTACAGTTCAGCTACAGAACTTAGTGGAAGTGAGCACAGATCTAAGATGAGGTTCAGGTCTTTATCTCCACTGGTCTCTATAGAGATCGTATGAGCAGACGTCATTCAGTGGGCGTTTATGATCCGTAGGGTGCGGACATACAGTCACAAAGCTGCTGTCTCACCAGTTACGCTCACTTACTCTCAGGTTAGCTTACACAAACACTGCCAAGCCTCTGAGCACAGAGCACCAATCAATGGGCCGTTTCTCACATACTACACAAAGAAGGGCAGGTAGAAATATATCACTTATTTCCTCAAAACACAGTTTATCACCTGCTTTAAGTGCTGAATAACTCCCCCCCCAGAAAGTGTGTTTATACTCAGCTGATAAAAGTATTAAAAAGTATCATTCTGTCTTCAGGATTGAACATGCAGTATAAAACTGTGTGGTATCAGTCGGATTTCCAACCATGTCCAGTGTTTGAAATCACTGTAAACATACCAATAACTTCAGAGACATTCTTACTCTACACAGAAACAGTTGGGTGTTTTTTGTTTGTTTCCCGCTGCAGGCAGAACTAACCCAAAGCAGGATATTTACTGATGATGATACTGATGAACGTTGCAATGGAAACTGATCAGAGCGATAACGGTTTCGCTATGACTCTCTTCCTTCCAAACAGATAACAATTTCTGTTTCTCTCCTGATATATATCTTTTTCACTCATATGGAAAAGTAAATGATGCTGCTCATCACCCTGAGTCAACAAACAGCTCAGATCAACAGCAGATATTTACGTGTGTTTGTGTGCGTGCGAGGAGAGGACGGAGAACCTAGCAGGACCATAATGACCACAAACCAGGACTCAGCATATACTTTGAAATGTTTCTTAGAGACTCGACTCCTCCCTTTAAGCTCACCATTTCTTGGCTCTTCTAAATCGCCTTTATAGAAACTGCAGCGCCAATTGATCTGGGCACACTTCATACACTGAAACAACTGAACTGTTAACTTGAATTCAATGTATTATGTCAACAAATGTCACATAACTGTATTAGGTTTGTTAAATGCAATAATAGTATGCACATGACATTTTTGCACGTCTGCACAGACCTCCACTTTAAAATATCATTCACTGTAGTTTGCCATGTATTGTCATATTTTCATTGTCTTATGTGAAATCTGTTGACATATTACATTTAACTAAAGTCAACGTTTCAGTTTTTTTAGTGCAGAAACCCCTCTTTAAGTGTTTACAGTAATCCTGCTGTAAACCTATCTAAAAACCTAGACCTCCTGGTGGGGTTCAACGTGCGCTCACCCTCATGCCGAGCACCAGGAAGCCGATCTCCTCCATCAGCGGGTACTTCCTGATCTGCTGCTCCCGTTTCTCCTGTGAGGCGAACGGGTCGTAGCTCCTCTGGCCCAGCTTCACGTCCATGATGCACGGCTTCACAAAGCGCCGCGTCACGTCCTCCAGCTTCAGGTACAGGTCTGAGGCGGGGGGGGGGGTGATGTTATTACAAGTTAAGCATTAATATGCAAAGTAATGCTGAACAACTTGTACTGAGCTGCTGAGTCCATTTGTTGGTTAAGAAAAAAATGTTCACACAGAACTTCATTTCCCACGGTTTCTTTCAAATGTTGACAGCTCATGTTCTGATATTTATAAAGACGTGTAAAGAATGAGCCCAAGGTATACTTTGCAGATGTTGATATGGTTGTGTAGAAGAGTAGTGATGAGGAGTTATCGCTATATAGGAGACTGATGTTGGCTTTTTATTTCTTTTATAAAAAAACCCATATGGCTCATGTGAATGGTAAGAAAGAAGCTTTCCCCTGGAAATGGACTGCATGTTAACAGGTTTATTATCATTTTCTCCACATCTCCATCTCTGAGTCTCACCGTTGGGGCTGTCAGGAGAGGACCAGGTGCCGTAGTACTTGGGCAGATGGCTCTGGAGCTCCAGAAGGCATGGATCACAGCAGTCCTCTGCATACACCTAGGACACACACACACACACACACACACACACACACATTACTACCTTCATACTATACAGTACATACAGATGGATAGCAAACTATATATCTGTCACCGTCATTTCTGTTCTGAAAAAATTCGTCCCAGTCAATTTGTCTGGAAAGATGTTAAAGTCCTGGACATTGGGGGAGAAATTCTGGTCGAATATTATCTATGTATAATTGAATTTAGAAACAATTGATAGGAAGGCTATTTACAATGACGTCGTAACCCAGTTTGAAGCCTTCATTTGGTTTTTAATATAAAATATACTGAATAAAAAAACCTTTGTAAACAAACAAAACAAACCATGTAGGGCTGTCTCGCTGATCATATTTGAATTAGGGTTGCTTTTGCAGAGAATCCTCTCTCTCTGCCGGCACACTAGAGACGAGCGGACAGCAAGTCTGGCACTTCGGAGGACTTCACAGGCCGTTGAGAAATCCAAGCTTCCATAACGCTGTCATCACAGTGATGGTATCTTGTTGCATGCTTGTGGCGTCAGTGAAAGGATCTCATGCTGACTCATCTATACAGCAGGCTTTTTATTATTTTTAACTAGACACTATATGAATAAATGTCAGATTTCAACAGATTTTCCCGCTCAAAGTCTGGTAAATACAAGGGAACACTGGCTGCAACTAACCATTCTCTTCAATATGCTTTACTCTGGTTACTTTTTGGATTTCCCAATGTTAGTTCAGCCTATTAACAGATATTCTGAAAGGAATCTGGGAAATAGGGAAATAAGAAAATACTGGAAAATATCCCAATTTTAAGTCCAAGGTGCCTTTTTTTCTGACAGACATAAAACATGGATACACTTCAATTCATGGAATCACTGAACTAATGACAGAGGGGTCTTTGGTCAGGAAGCACAATCTGAATTTGTAAGATGAAAATGGGGAAAGTTCTGCGAACATTTCTCAGCAGCTTGTCCTGTTATAGTTACTTCACCTAGAGTCGTGTGTGGGGTGGGTTGAGATGTGTGTGTTGGGATTAGTGGGACTGGTTGGGTGAAGGCAGACGTGATAACATGACTCACTCAGTTTGTTTGAGAGTTGCTGAGGCTGACAGAGATGCTAAGCTCTAAAGCAAATACTGAGCAGCACACACACCTGTCACAGAGAATTACATAGTCCGCTATGGAATGTCTGATATCTTTACTGAGCATTAAGACCTTACAATTCTCCAGCAGCCACTGTGTATGGAAAGTGATGTTAAACATGTATTTAAGTGGCTATAAAAAAGCTATTTCAAACTGTATTGCAGCTGTATGTAAAGGCTGAAAGCTCTTCCTACAAATTCAATTGAGAATACAAAACAATTTGATTTGAATAAGTATTCAATTAAAGCTGAAAGAGATCTAACAAACATTGAATCACCTACAGACACCTGTTTTTTGTGTATTTCCTTTTGGTATTTGTGCATGTAGTTTTATGGATCTATTTACATGCATGTTGTAAATTAGCTTTTCGCTTTAAACTTTAATCATGGTGCATCTGGTCTTTGTGCTTAATGCAAAATAATATTGTCTATATAAAATAATAATTACAAAAGATATTTCATGACGGCTTTTTAGAGAAGTGGGGTAACAATGTCAAAGAATTACGCGATACAAAAAGTGATGATGAACAATACATTGCAATATCAACCCGTTCTGAACTGCTTAGTCATTAAACAAACCTTTAACATTATATGGTTCAAAATTAATTAATTTTGCAGACTACATTGATTTTCACCCGTTTTTTCTAATACGATGACAGCTCACGCTCTAAAGAAATAATGAAGCTACATGTGAGCCTTAAGTATATTTTGCAGGTGATGATATGGTTTTGCATGTGACTGTGTGAGAGTATTATTGAATGCATCAGTGTTACCATGCTGTAAAACTGCATCTCTCTGGGCCCTCTGGGTGGGGGCTGGAGCTGCTTCAGGACTGTCCCATCTGGGTGCTGCAAAATCCCTGCAACAAATACAAAGACGGCACTGATAATTAAAACAAAGTTGATCAACTTAAAGTACAGTGCTTAAACGGTCAAATAATAAGTAACAGTTCATGAAATGAGGAGTTAGTCATCCGTTCTCAACCCCTGTTCAGCAGACTGTATCATTGGTACACACCTATGTAATGTTGTCAGCAGTTTATTCAGAACAGAAGTTGTTGTAAAGAGTAAACATTAACAGTTCACTGGGTTCTCACTGTGTATGAGGTTAATGTTAAACAGTGAATCATACAATCTGTCCTCTATCAAACACAACATGGACAGCAGCACTAAAGTAAAGAGAGATAGACAACATTTGAGAACATGGACACAAACAGTAGAATGCGTCAATATGGGGGTGATTGTATTTAACAATGTATAACGGAGAGGAACATTTCAAAGAAATAGAGAGAGCAGCATAAGGGACTTATCTCTAAAAGAGATAAGCCAATGAAATGTTGTATGCATGAGCCTTCAAAGAGAACCTCTCATGCCATCATTACCCTTTAGTTTACACTACCTGACAAACATAATGAAGCGTTCAGAAATTCTATCTGATGAACATGTAGACAGGCACAAAATACATATGGACTAAAAATCTGAAAGGAATCTGGGAAATATGAACTTTCATGAAGTGAAAACAAACAGTGAAAGGTTTAGGAAAAAAGCAAGATAACATCCTTGTTAATCACAAGTCTGCCACATCGTGAAGCATATCCTGCTTTGTCGTCTATTTGACTCTGAATGGGAGCATCATTCAAGACTCTAAATAGCAATTGAGACTATAAACGGATTTGTACAATGTGAAACCGATGTAGTTAATCAACTGCCAAGTAGGGTCATGTTCTCATACACTTCTATACAATCAAACCTATTTTTGCTACAAGTGAAGTCGCTCCCTGCTGGCCATTAGAAATAATTAGGGTTTAAGGAATCCTTCCATTTTTAGACTCCTAGGTTACAGCTTGATTAGGATGGAAATGTCATGAGCTTGCTTTTCTTAAGAGAGGGCTTTCTACCTCTGTTCATATTTAGGAGAGCTGCAGAGAAATCCTAAAATGTTTAGAGTTACCAGGCAAATAAATGTTGGCTGATTTGGTGGGGTTGTATTCATTCAGGCACTGGGAAAATAAGTTAACCAATCACAACCAGGGATGCCAGTTGACTGACAGATACATGAATATGATGGTTTATCAGACAAAGCATTGAGGTCTACAGCTGTGAGGAGTTATCGGGTGATGCCAGAAGACATTGTGATGAGCAAGGTTCAAGTGTTCTGCCAGATCAGGCCTGATTAACAGTCCTACATCAGGATACAGCTTTTCAACAGCAAGGACTTGGGTCAGTCACACTTTCAAAAGAATACATCAAAATGTAATTGACACTAACAACTAAAGCAATCGACACTTCAACTTACTTCCACATCATTCAGTATGAAGTAACAGTATATATAGCTCTAATATAGGGATGTAAAACACTGAGATTATATAGGGCCTACTAGAATAGTTGCAAAGAGTCAAATGACTGACTGAATAAGTAGTGTTTGAACTGTACATTAAGCAAGGAGGGAATCTGACAGTCCAGATTAATACTGCGAATAAGACCAAAGTGTAAACATAACTCATAATGTGTTTGTACAGGCCACACCACAAGCTATTATATGAGATCCAGCCATTACTTGAACACTACAATATAACTGTTTCTTATATGAGAATGAGGATACGTTTAACAACTGTTGTGTTGTATTCAATTACTAATTGCAGTAATCAGTAATTAACAGATGGCCTGAGTAAAACTGCATTAGAACTGATTCATGTTTTTCTTTTAAATAGTCAGTCAAGCAATCAAAGCATTTAGGCTTCAAAAACAAGTGCTTTTCCTTTGTGAATATTCACTTTCTGGACAAACTGTGTGAGTTTCATAAACGTATGTTAGCCCATTTTTTGCAATAATCCAAAATCATATTAGATATTTTGTCGAGATGACCAGTATGATGCTAACTTCCAGGTTTAACCCACACAAAGATGTCATTCCTGCAGCATTATAGTGCATCTTATTATTGCCCAGTGACTTTGCCACCCAGGTGGATCAGAGAACACAATAATGGTTGTAATGTCAGCAGCCTTATTATGAAAGCACTCGTATTGGTTCACCTTATTTTGCCATTCTTGTGAGATATTTTAAAGTGTAAAACTGAACTGATTCAGTAGTTTGTAGCTTTGAGATTTAAAGTTTAAAAGTCCTGCCCGGCCTTCACCATTAAGAATTAGCATTCAGCAGCTGACAGGTGAACACTGAGTAACACAGCGGCAGCCGGACTTTCACCTTTGCCTTTCTGTGTTGCATCAGATCCTGTAACTACATTATGATCCAACTAAACACACACACACACACACCAACAGCACCCATATGGAAATGGTATCAGATTTGCATGTAAAAAGGCACATTTCCTGACACAACCCTTTTTATATATAGCTTGTTAAACACTGCTTGCCCCTGCTTTCATTGGAACTAATTAAACCTGGCTCAGTCTACCATCCATGATAATCTCCACTTTTCTGCACTTTATGGCAAATAACTGCCCATCACTTACACACATTTTAACACAGACCTACAAACTGAAGGCCTGAGGAGGAGTAAACAGGCTGATTCTCAGTCAGTATCGGTTCAAGCTGAACAGGATCCACTGCTTGTTCGGTTACAGAGACTGCAAAACAATGTACTCTATCCTGGCTGTTAGTTTCAACATGCTATAATATGCGGCCTGTGTTAATGATTGTTCACTACCAAGCCCAAGGAGGGACTCAGATAAGAGCATTACTGTCAGATGTACTGTATCACTGCACCTAAAGGCATTCTCTACTCCTATTTGCGTGTGGATCGTGCAGATGAGACATGAGACATTCCGGAGAAATCAACACAGCTAGAATCTACAGAAAAACACTCGCGCATCATTGCACACATTTAGATTGCATTGATCAGATTACATATTAAGACGGCTTATACATTTGATATTTCATTTACTGCGTGCAAACATGTTTCATGGCAGTGTATTGCTTCATTTCAGCAAAAACTGCTTTAGCTGTCACTTTTAATTTTGGTAGAAAATCAACTAGGAAATAAATCAAATGCAATATTACACACTTAGGGCTGAAAATTATGCACATTTTTTTATATATAGCCTGTCATTACTTTCATTATTAAATATTCAATCATTATTTTTGTTAAGTTAAAATGGAGAATACAGTGAGAAATTCCCACATGAGAGGCATGTCTTAACATATCTTGTTCTGCCTGAAAAACAGCCCAAAACATATTTTTTGAACATATACGTATATGTATATGTATGTAAAATGAAAAAGAATGTATTGTACTACCATGTGGGATAGGGCAAGTGTTTGGCATTACAGAGAAATAGTAAATACACTAATTAAATAAATATAACATTTAAAAAAAGTGAATATTCATAGTGAGAAGCTGGAGCCAGAGAACGAATGATAACTACGTACACTTTAAAAGTAAGGCTTTTTTTTCAATCATTTTAGCTCCAGAAGTAGTGATAGTGCCTTCTAGTTCTGTCCCACTCTGTGTTCACACCGACTCATTTCCAACTAACCCAGAGCAAAGATACATTAAACAAACATGGATCATTATCTGCTATTAGCATTATTAGACTGAAACTGGAGTTAAAACACCATATTAATAACATACAGGTCAAAACAGGAAATGTTTGCTGGAAAGCCCATTAACTTAACACAGTGAACATAGATGAACCAAAAGGAAATGAAATGTTTGTCATTCCAAAGAAAGCCGTGACGCAAGGCTACATCAAAGGGCTCAGGTTAAAACAGGTACAATTCAGCCAAATCAACTTGTGGACAGACAGGTTGGTCCTGCTGACGGCAGGCTACAGGACACTCCTGAGGACGAGTAACACACATCATTACCATGTGTATCCCAGGAAGTTTATATATACAGTCTTTGGTTGCCATTCATGGAAGTAACTGACTGATCAGCTATGACTCGCATATCTGAAAGGCACTTTTACTTCCAGTATCATGCTCAACCAATTCAGCTCTGCACCTCGCCTGATAACACATAATGGGTCCTTTAATAGTGTCAGATGTCCTGCGTAGCCCTGTATATTCTACATATTTATTGTTGTACTTTATTGTTTGTACATTTGGTGTATTTACATTTATTTTAAAAATGTATTTGTATTATAAATGGCTTACGTTTTTTGAAGTGCGAGGTTCACAGTATTTTGTGTCACATGATATGCTTTAATGTTACATATAGTATCTATTGGGGGGAATTAACGAGTCATTGTCAGTGTCCCAGCCTTGTTGAAGTTCACCTGTGGAAATTGATTACATTATTTTTCTCACTACTTATCTACCCCAGCTACATCTTAAGTTGTAAAGCTCTGCACTAAATATGATCAAACAGAGATACTTTGTGCCTTTGTAGTCACCTTTACTGTCGCACACTCCTATAGGCTACGCAGGACATCTGACACTATTAAAGGACCCATTATGTGTTATCAGGCGAGGTGCAGAGCTGAATTGGTTGAGCATGATACTGGAAGTAAAAGTGCCTTTCAGATATGTGAGTCATAGCTGATCAGTCAGTTACTTCCATGAATGGCAACCAAAGACTGTATATATAAACTTCCTGGGATACACATGGTAATGATGTGTGTTACTCGTCCTCAGGAGTGTCCTGTAGCCTGCCGTCAGCAGGAACAACCTGTCTGTCCACAAGTTGATTTGGCTGAATTGTACCCGTTTAACCTGAGCCCAATGATGTAGCCTTGCGTCATTTTTATTTGTTCCTGTTTTACAACTGAATTCCTCACATTGTGTTTATGTATGCACCACTGTACACCAAAAGCAAATTCCTTGTAAGTGTAAAACCACTTGGTGATAAACCTGATTCTGATTACAATTTGCATGCTGCTCCCTTAAATGACATCTTAGGTTAACTGATCTTCCCACACAGGTTTTCCAATAACACACTGTGGGTGGTGCAGTCTGAGGAAAGATAAGAAACTGTTGGTGGGTTGTTTGTGGGCTAAATGTTCCCCCAATCTAAAAACAATATATTGTCCAATTCACAAGGGTGACAAGCAACAGTTGTCAGCCAGGTGTAAACAAATTGATCTATTATTTTAATGACAGAAGCTTTAATCATATGAAAGGTCTTGTCCATGTTACTTACCCACTGTATCCACTCCATACTTGTGACCCGCCACCTGATGTGACAGCGGGACGCAGCCGTTCAGGTGAGCCTGGCCTTGTGGCCCCGGTGGCCGTTGACCGGACTTCTCTTTCCCGGGGTGTCCGGCGGAGAGCCGCGGGGTCAGGCTGACCCCAACAGCGCCTGAGCTGGGGGTCAGTTCCAGTCTTCCAAGGGCTAGAGAGGACTCCATCATCATTTGACGCTGGGTTGTTGACATTTGCAACAAAATATTTAAAAAATGGGGGGAAACAGTCTTTGTCTAAGAAAAAAATAAAATAAAAAATCAACCAGGTGACTGAATTGATTCACATGCTGTTATTACGTAAGCACACAATACAGCCCAGAACACAAATTGTTAGGGCGTGAGTTTGAGAAGCCCTCATGGAAATGGTCCAGTCCAGGCAAAACCAGCACAGCAGCTTCGGTCGTGTCTGCCGTGTTCGACCACCGACAACAGCCACAGTCACTGGCAGCAACAGTGTCGTTCCCCCCGCTGTGTCCGGTTGCGAAACAGGGCTCCCGAACCAGCGTGAATTGAGTGATTTTCATATCTTAAACAGAAGCATAAATACACCCTGGCCACATCCCACTTCCTACTAGTGTCAAACAGTGTGAAGGCAAGGCCGACTTCCGTTTGCAACTTCCAAAATAAAGCGAATGGAGATATATCGAATCTGCAGTGTACCACGGAATTAATAAATCGGAGATGTATGTTGCTATTAGAGCCGCCTGTCGTTGTGTCCAAGTGTTTAGACTCTGTCCAATCTCAAACGATGTTGATCAAAGTCAAACCAAATACATTTGGCACATTTATTGTGAAGGCAAGGTCAACCCACTTCCGGTCTGAACTTGATCACGTTCTGCTAACCTGACGCAACTTCACTTCCTCGGTCCAGAGAAGTAAATACTGTTGTCTCTCAGTAATGGTGATATTACGACACACTTAACAGTGATATCCAGTTCCAGTCATCAAATAGAGAAGCAGGCGGGGCGAATCGAGACAATAAAGTGTCGAAATTGCATAAAGGGCCATTCATCAGTCCTTGTGTTTGCTAAGTCATCGATACTGTCCATTAGGCTGCTAAGCGAGCCCTTCCTCGCGTCACAATTCGGCACACCAGAGGGACCTGACACTTGTCGTACAACCGTCCTCTAGACGAAAGGCAACCCGTTCAAGATGATCACAAAAAAGATGCATTATCGTCCTTAAATCCATCATATTGTATGGGATTGTATCTCAGTTATAGATATCCAGGTGAGTGTAGGCGGCTACCTCTCGACGTACCGAACAGCGCCCAAAGCCTCCCACACGTTTGCGACAGTTTCCAATAGTGCCGCAAATCATTCCTTCACATCAACTGACAGTTCGGCCCAATCCCAAACCAAGCCCTACACACTACCCCTGCGTGACGGAGTGAACTCCGTGGAGTGACACTCGCAGCTCAACGAGGCTCCCTCCTGTCAGATCGAGGGAGTAAATACAGCTGCAAGCTTTGGGACAAACTCCCCTCTCTCCGGCAGAAACAGGAAATGCCGTAACTGTAACAACGGTTTCAAATCAGCATCTCAGACAAAACATTAAAATTAATAACTCAAATAAAACTCCAAACATCTTTGATTGTGTTACTTTTTTGTAAAGCTCTTTAGTTTTAAACCTGATGTTTATAAGCTTCTTAGTTTTTGCAACAATCTGTAAATATACACAACTTTATAATAAAATGCACACATTTACCTTTTTCTAGACTAAACACAGGTATACGATCCTAAGTTAAAAACATATGAGGTTATCATGAGGTTGTTAACATTGCAGTTTATCACTGGATGTTTGCTGGAACTGTTTGTAAACAGCGTGTTTCCTGACGGACACACAGAGCGCTGAGACCGGTCAGGTAGAGACCGAGGGTGTTTCTCAATCGCGAGTACGCTTGCTTGGTAGCACATGTCTGCCGAGCATCTTGCTTCAGAAGCGAGTCAAGAATACTTCCTGGCATTCGGAAAACAAAGAGTGGAACAGGCTAGCAAGTGTGCAGGTGTGCGTCATATGATAGGCCCCGCCTTACATTTTCCGTCACAGATTTGGGGAAATTGGTCCGTGCGCAAAGCATTGTGGGGATTTTAAGACTGCAGAGTCTACTCATGTGCAGCGTCGATATTTCTACAGTACAGTACTTCGGCGGCACTCGATGACGTGGTATGCTTGAAATAGTGGCTCTGCAGCAGCTTTACCCTCGGGGTGTTTCTCAATCGCGAGTAAAGCTGCTTCAGAGCCACTATTTCAAGCATACTACGTCATCGAGTGCCTCCGAAGTACTGTTCCAATCTCCAGCATACTTGGAAATCTACCGAGCCCGTCGTACTCCGTTTGGAGAAATATCGAGGCTGCACATGAGTAGACTCCGCGGTCTTAAAATCCCCACAATGCTTTGCGCACAGACCAATTTCCCCAAATCTGTGACGGAAGATGTAAGAGGCGGGGCCTCTCATATGACGCACACCTGCACACTTGCTAGCGTGTTCCACTCTTTGTTTTCCAAATGTCAGGAAATATTCTTGACTCGCTTCTGAAGCAAGATGCTCAGCAGACATGTGCTACCAAGCAAGCGTACTCGCGATTGAGAAACACCCCGTGGCTGCGTTTCACTTCTCTTATTTTTCATTTCCCTCGCTCCTCGGTCTCGGTCTCACCAGAAGTTGATTTGTCTGCGCCATCTTGAGTAGCGTCCCAATGGCCTTATTTTTGCCGGAGGAGCGAGGAGCGATAATGGAGGAGCTATAATCGAGGAACCACCAGACCATCCTTCGATGAAATCCTCAGACACTCGCTCCGCCCCCTTACTGTGTATCGCTCACTGATTGGACGATGCAGCGCATGCAATGATCTGATGCTTCTTGACATGAGAGCAGTTTCCCAGCGGAGTGAAGAAAACACATGAAACTCACGGGACTCACTCCTCAGTTTATACCGTGTTTTGTTTCAATTAATGTATAATTTAGTTACAAATATGTGATATATCTGAACAACAAAGTGGTCAAAAATCATTTTATTCATTTATTGGAAAAAATTTCATGATCGCTTTTTTCGTTTTACATTTTCATTTATTGTCATTTCCATTCAGTCAGTCATTAAGTGCTATTTAAAATGTTAATTTGCTACATATCCACACAAACAAACTAAGTGTGCAATCCAATGAATGTTAATCTAACTGGGTTTTGATAGATAACATATCTCTTTTTCTTCTCTGAATTATTTTATTTCTATTGTGCACTCTAATCAATATTAATCAAACTAATGTTCGTTTATACATTTTAAGAATGGCGTTTACCTTTTTTGTGAATGAGTTCTTATTTGATTTTATTTATTTGGGTCTACAACAGATGATACAAATGTTTGTGTCAGTAAATGTGTACTAACAGAGGCGGGGGTGTTTGTGAAAATAACGGGGACAGAGCTGCTGTCAGACGATCAGCTGTGCAACATCATCACAAACGGACGTCGCTTCACGTGACGCTCCGGAGGAAAGGACGTCCCATTGCTCTTAAAACTCATTTCCCTGCTTCTCGTGATTTCCTTAGCCTCGTCTCAATACCCCTCCTCGACTCCTCCTTTCCCTCACTCGCATCCCTTCCTTGCGTCTTAGCTCCGCCTCCGTAAGATGCGAGCGAGAGACACGAGGAGGTGACGCGAGGACAGAGGAGTCCTCAGGTATTAATTGGGATGTCCTCGTTCACTCAAACGTCACTCTTAAACGACGTCTGTTAATGATGACATGTGCACAGCTGTATCCCCTCTCATCGGGCTTAACTGAATAACCCCTTAGAACCGGCCCATTTGTTGTTAAATATGTATTTAAATGATGAATCTTTCTCTTGTTAGTCAAGGAATTCAATGTATGATGGTTGGTCCTGCTTTTGTGTTCCGTTTTGGTGTAAAATGTACATTTCAATGAAATTATAATTATAATAATGTGAAAGCCTTTACTCTGAACATGTGTGTCCTGTAGATCCCCACATTCACCACAAACCCACATTCAGGACTGTGCATTTTAAATAATTTAACTACTCAATATTTTAACACAAAACAAAACAAATAATTGTTATTTATCAAGATCTAGCCATTTACGAAATAGCTTTCTTAATAGCTATGTTTTAGTGACGTTCAAGATCATTAAACATGACTTAAATTGTTAGTATAACCTTAAGAAATGAATTGCACATAATAATTCCCACGGAGCTGTGAGCACTTATACATTTATGTGACGCTTTTCCACTCATTCTTCCAGTTCTCCGTTTTCCTCTCTTGAAATCGACCAGCTGTGAAGGTGGGGGCGGGGCTTTTATACGCGAGTAGTGAAAACACTTCCGCGTAGTCTGCTCTCGTGTATCCTCCCTTTCGTCTCCTCCCGCACCCCTCCTCCCTCACCCCTCCTCGACTCCTCCGTGTGCATTTCAGCTATTGGGACGTCCTTCAACATGGCGTGTCTTGATCGATTTCCGGGTCAAGTCCCGGAGGAGGGGAAGAGAGGAGTCGAGGAGGGGTATTGAGGCTGCAGGCTCGTCTCAATACCCCTCCTCGACTCCTCTCTTCCCCTCCTCCTCACAGCTGGTCGATTTCAAGAGAGGAAAACGGAGAACTGGAAGAATGAGTGGAAAAGCGTCACATAAATGTATAAGTGCTCACAGCTCCGTGGGAATTATTATGTGCAATTCATTTCTTAAGGTTATACTAACAATTTAAGTCATGTTTAATGATCTTGAACGTCACTAAAACATAGCTATTAAGAAAGCTATTTCATAAATGGCTAGATCTTGATAAATAACAATTATTTGTTTTGTTTTGTGTTAAAATATTGAGTAGTTAAATTATTTAAAATGCACAGTCCTGAATGTGGGTTTGTGGTGAATGTGGGGATCTACAGGACACACATGTTCAGAGTAAAGGCTTTCACATTATTATAATTATAATTTTATTGAAATGTACATTTTACACCAAAACGGAACACAAAAGCAGGACCAACCATCATACATTGAATTCCTTGACTAACAAGAGAAAGATTCATCATTTAAAGGGCCCATGTCATGGCCATTTCCACTGATCATAATTACATTGTTGAGGTATACTAAAATAGATTTATACTGTGCAATTTTCCAAACTCACATTGGTTTCGCATACAGCATCTCTGTCAAGCATGTGTATTCAGCAGTATTCACTCTCTCCACTAAACGACTCGTTGGAGCTCTTGCCCCCCCCCCTCCCTGTGAGCCTAGTGTGCTCCGATTGGTCAGCTCGGCCACTCTGTTCTGATTAGTCAACCACCAGAGAGGCTGCGCCCATGTCTAAACGGCTGCTCTCAGCCGAACATCAGTCTTATCATGGCGTCGGTACAGCCGTATATTTTATATACATATATATATTTTGAACTGTTGTTATAGAAGAGTGTGACGGCCCCAGGGCCTTTGTCTTACGATGGGGTGGAGCTGAAGAGGCTAATCAGCGCGATCACGGACACCTGGCCGGAGCCGAGGTGCTAGCCAGCTGCCCGGAGTCAAACGGCAGCCCCTCTCTCCCTCCAAGCAGCTCAGCGATCCTCTTCCCTGACCACCTATCTCTGCATTTACCACAATAAATGTGCCGTGGTTTTGTAAACTCGTGTATGTCTCCTTGTCTTTCCGTTGTGGCCTACGAGCCGGTCATAACAAAGAGTAAGTTATTTTTACCCGTTATAAACTACTACTGTTTGATGAGAAATCAAATCATGGTTTGCTATATATGAATGATATGTTATAGGAGGAAATAATTCAGGGAAGAAAGGATAGGCCTACTAAGTATTTCCATTAAACTTTATTTTTAGAAATGTACAAAATGAACGTAAATATACATATATACACGGTATATCGTCAATTACTCCCCGTTGTCGGCATCTTGCTTATAGCAGCCAGGGCTTTTTGAGACGATGCCTCAGTGTGGTCGTCCAGTCATGTATTGTCCGGCAGGATCTACCTGGACGAAATAAAATGCAAATCACAAAATATTAGAGAAACTTAGTTGTTTTAGATTCGTTAGTAGTAGTTGTGGTAGGAGTGTGGATCTATCTAATGAACAGCTTGCCTGCTAATATGCTAACCTAGCTTTGTTTACCTTGGTAGCTAACACGATATGAACGTTAGCTTGGAGGAACGGCAACTATAATGTAGTGTAATAAAACTACTATGAACAAAAGCTAGTGGTTCATATTAGGCTAGCAATAACGTGTTTATAATTGCAATATTATACGGGTATTCTGCTACGTTCGGTCATACATTGTAACTTGCATGAATACATTGTTTTGCGCTAGCATACAGCTAGCCTCGTTAGCTATACATGTACAT